TTTTTGATATAAATTTAGGTAAAAGAGTGTGTTCTAGATATACAAAAATATTGGTATACTGATTGAGATTTTTGATGTGTAAATGATAGCAAACAAGATAGCATAAATAATTGTTCTCTTTTTGATATAAATTTGAGCAGAAGATTGCTTTCTAGATATACAAAAAATAGTAACACTGAGCTAGAATGATGACGCAAGCATAAATTTATCATCATTCAAGTGATGACATGAGCATAGATCTATCGTTATTCGAGTGACAATGTGAGTATAAATCTATCATTATTGATCCTTTTTGATATGAATTTGGCTAAATAAATGTGTTCTAGATAAAAATAATTGATTTGACAATGCAAAAGCAAAATTATATACAAAATTGATATCAGTAACAAAAATTGTGCCAGAACTCCTAAAAATGTCCTACTAGATATCAATGGCATAAAAATTTATTTAATTCAGCACTATTATGGTTAAATGATGAAAATTATGAGATACTTTTAGAAATCAAAGAGCCAATTCGGGTCTTTTCATTTTTAACTGTATTTTATCAACTTTTTAAAATACATAATATAAATATTCAAGAATGCGAAATTGATGCTACATGTAAGTAATAATTTAAATTATATTTATTATTACATACAGTATTAATAGTTCAGTTAAAATTTATTATTGTTCAACCTGCATTAAAAAAAATAATCATTAATTATATATTTATATTTATTTTAAATAATATAAATTTATGGACAATACTAATGATCAAGGATTTGAGCTTTATATAATGATGGCAGAGGTTGATGGTGCTGGATATCCGCTCGCTTATCTTTTTATTGAAAAAAATAATAATCCTAGTGCAATTAATATTAAACGTACTGAAATCATTATAGAATTTTTTCAAAAAATAAAATTACAAGGTTTAACTCCAGAATTTATTTTAAGCGATAAAGATTTTTCGCAAAGTTCAGCTGCAAAAATTGTATGGCCACTGTCAAAAATTCAATTGTGCCGATGACATGTCTGAAGAGCAATTGATATATGATTATTATCAAATAAAATTTCACATCATACTTATAAGCATTTAACATTTCAGACCCAGTTTTCTTTTATTGATAAAAATTTTATGCTATATTATCTAATTCCAAATGGTACAATTTTTTGTCCAAAGGAATTACAAAAATCTGTATAGAATTTAATAGACTATCATTTACATCTTCATCTACTAATACTAATGGCAAATTTATCATTATTATGTGAGCAAATCTGGGAGCAATCTGTAAAAGAAATGTATGAACTTTGTTACTAAAATAATTTACCTTTCCTTTGGATATATTTTTGGAAAGAATGGTATTGCAATGATCGATGGATTTTATGGATGAGAGTTGGATATAGTGAGAAAATATCAGTTTTAAAGACAACTATGTTTATCGAGTCTCATTGGAAGGTGATTAAGCATGATTTTCTTCACAAATTCTTTCGTCCTCGACTTGATCTTGTTGTTTATGTTATTACCAAAAAATTAATATCATATGAAAAGCGAAAATTTGATCAAATTTTAGCTAGAAAAGAAAAATCAAATTGGCGAAAAGCATTTAAAGCTGAATAGAAGCGTTTAGATAATAAACATCCATGAACAATCAATATTTAACCAATATTGAACAATGGACTTGTAGTTGTCTATATTTCTTGGCAAATCGCTTTTTTTTATGTAAGCATTTAGTGCTTTGTAGAGGAACAGTTTCTATGCAATTCTTTGATAACGTAAGAAGAAATAATTCTTACCCGTTTTTATTGGATCAACAAAATTCTGAGAATATTGAGGATAAAGAAAATAAATTAGAATCTTCAATTTTATTTTCTATTAATAATATTGTTCAAGAAGAGTTGCCTGAAGAATGTGAAGATTCTGATATATTTTTCAATCAGTTAATTATCACGACTCAAAAAATGCTTGATATTCTTAAAGAACACAAGAATACGAAAAATATTAAGTGAGGTAAAAGTGATCAAAAAAACTTTAATGCAATCAATACTATGGTCCATCAGATTGAAAGTTATCATCGAAAAAAAACTATGCCATTAATGTGGGCCAGACATACACATAATACTCGATATTTAAATTAAAATAATGTTATAGTATAGATATACTTTTTTTTTGGCTTTAGTTAATGCTATTTATCTTTAATTTAATTTTATTATACTATTCTAGCAAACAAACATTGCTATTTTTATATTAAAAATGGTCAAAGAGAAAGCTGCGAAGATAAGAAACATTTCTCCAATAAGTTTATAAAAACCGTACTTGCAAAATAATTTAAATGAACATTTTTTCGATTAGTATATTTGTATATATTTCTTAAATTTTTTACAAAATGTACTAGTGTAGCATATATTTATCAGCTAGATGCGTAATTATTAATATAATAGAATTTGTATCATGAAAGAAATTTTTTTTTTAAAATTCCTGTGAAAGAATTTATAAATAACTTGCTTATTAAATTAAAAAAAATTACAATAGAAGTAGGATATTATTGTTTTATTCAGCAATTAATCAGTTTATGATAGTTAAATATAAAGCTGAGTCGAGCCGACGACTTCAAATAGAACAAATATTTTGTATTTCGATTTTTTTAAAACATGGTGTAGCAAGTGGATCACATGAAACGTGAATTTTTATGGGTATGCTGGGGTAGTTGTTTTTGAAGGTAAATATCTACCAATAGGCTGAGTCACCTGACTTCATATTTTGTAATTATTTTCTTCTTAAGTAGCTTGTCATGAAACACTAGAAAATTCATGTGTGGCTAAGTTTGATTATGCTTGATTGATCATATGACTAAGCATCATTTATATTGATCATGCGACTAAGCATCATTTATATTGATCAAATTCATATACATTTATTGTTAAAAATGATGTAATAAATGATTTATTAGTAAAGAGACCCAACCCTAAAACCCGTTGAACCTTTATCTCCTTTTTTTTTCATTGAACATTTACCATTAAACATTATTACATTGAAAAAAGAGGAAAATCAAAGAAAAAGTCAGTTATCAAAATTTTTCATCATAAAGTTATAGGACGGATTTCAAAAAATATAAAAGAAGGTGCCAAAGTTACTATCTTAGAGATAGTTGTGAGCAAAAATATTGCTCAACCTCTTTTGAAAAACCTTTGGAAAACTAGATGACTTAGTGCTACAGTTTTACGAAGAGCACATCATGTAAATCATTGGGTAATAAGTCTTGATGAAAGCCCAGAGGAAGAGATTGAGATTGTAGCAGCCCGTATGAAGTTTGTAGCTGCTGCTACAACTGATAATAATTCTGACAAAGATAGTATTCAAGCTGATCTGACTATTAATAACTCTGAGACTGATATCTTAAGTAATAGTGAAGAGAGTCAAGATAAAACAAGTATTAGTAATACGAATGAAATTGGGTAGACTAATACAATTGTAACTATTGATACTCGTCGTGTTTATCATTCCTATTCCAATGCACCAATTGTGTATATTTCTAATATTTCAAATGCTTCACCAAGACAATTTCTTGAATATTTTTTACTAGTTGGCTATATAAAGTCAATTGTAATACCATCTACAAATGTATATGCACGTGCAAGTGAACAGTTGTAGAAAGACTTAACCTGGGTAGAGTTTATGCGGCTTGTTAGGATTTTGACTATTATGACATATGTGAAATGTTCTGATATATGCAATTATTGGTCTGTTAATCAAGAGACAGGTGGTATTTCATTAGGATTTGGGCATTATATGTCACATAGACGTTTTAGAGATATTATTAAATACTTGACATTAACAAATATACCAGAAAGTGATAATTTCTTGTTATCTGGTATAATTTGATGAATATACAGTTATTGGCAAGATAATAACAAAAGTACGTGACCGAAGGCCACGTGCATTGTTATTATTCTGTTAATCTGTATTCGTCACCATCATGCCAGATAACTAGTTTATTCGGCAGGTATGACGTATACACTTACAGAAAAAATTGATATTATGCCACAAGTTTTATATTAAAATGATTTTAATATTAACCTGCGGCAATAATGTGAAATTTTTTCCGTCAGTGTTTACATAGTACCTGCCGAATAATCCTTTTTATTCCGTTCGTCAGTTTTACAAAGCATTTAATGAAAATCTTTTCAAAGCTATTATATCTGGTAGTATTCTCTGTATTGATGAGTCAATGTGTCAATGGATAGGCAAGGTTGATAAAGGTCCATTCCAATGGAAGATACCAAGAAAGCCTAATCCTATTGGCTGTAAATTCAAGACTATTCTGATGCACAGATTAATTTGTTTATACGATTAGATCCTGTAGAGCCACCAGAACATAGAAATAAAAAAAAATTTTCTAATAAATATTCAGCAACAGTTGCAACTATATTACGATTAACAGAACCATAGTTTTATAGTGGTAGAACTATTATTGGAGATTCGTGGTTTGAAAGTGTGGCTAGTTGTATAACTTTATATAAGCATGGTATTTATTCTATTATGCAATTAAAAAAGCATCGTTACTGGCCAAAATATATTCCACATAATATTACAAGCTCTTTTGAAGAACCTTATAGATCATTTATTAGTCGAACAGGAAAATTTGATAATGTTGATCTTATTTTATGTTCACTTCATGATCGAAAAGATATAGTATTACTTTCAACTTGTTCTGTAACAGATGCTCAAAAAGAAATAAATAGATATATAAAGGATTGTGGTAATATAAAATTTAAATGACCTATTGTATTTGATGAATATAATGAGCACTGATCTACTGTAGATATTCTCAACAATTTATATGAAAATGCACTTTCTTACCATGATGTTCTTACAACAAAGTGTTCAATAAATCGTATTTTCGCTTTTTATCTTACAATCACAGAAGCTAACAGTTATTCTGCATATTGCCGATTAATTCTAGAACAAAAAATATTGAAACATGTAGATTTTCGTAAACAGTTAGTTGCTTCCATTTTTGATTATTACTCAAGTTAAACCATTGCTGATAGAACTAAAAAAAGAAAAAGAAAAGATTCAGAAATTATTGAACATAATCTCGTAAGTCTCAGGAACAATTCTTCAAATTCATCACATAATGAAAAACATGTTCAATGTTATTGTATAAGTTGCCATATTCGTACAACTACATGCTACAGATGTTTGACAAAACAGAATATGTGCACAAAATGTTTTGTCATATTTGTGATATATACAGCAGGGCTTCTACAAGGTAAATTTTTTTATAAATCTATTTTTCTATACTTGTTTTATCATTCTTTAAATTTGCAGTCTAAAATTTTTTTTCTGTGAACCGCTAAATAATTTTTAATTATATACCACATGTAGTACACCTGCTATTGCAGAATAATGTAATATTTCTGATATTATATAATCTAATAATTATGTAATAAATAAATAATAAAAATAAATCAATTTATAAAGTGGTATTTAATACTTCTTCAAGTAAAAAATTTTTTAAATTTGTTAATTTTTAAGTGCTCTACGATTTTTTTAAAATATACTACCAGTAGTACAGTAGATAAAATCCTATCTATTAACGATAAATGTGGAATATGGTAATAATCACTTTTTTTTTTTAATACAATTAAAGGTATACTTTTTGAGCAAAAAAAATATTTTTTTAATACTATATATATATTTTTTTAATCGATAGCCTTTATTATGCTCTTTTCAACAGTAATCTTGGTTTACAAATCTCAATAGCTTTATGTTTATCAAATTTAGCTAAAGCTTATTAATATTGTTAAAGAATTTGCTACTTGTAAAAAAAAATAAATAGAAAAAACCTCTCTATTATATTAAATTACACAATGTTCTTTATCTTTTAAAAAAAAATCAAATTAATAATTATTATACTCATTAGAAAGAAAATTGTACCGAAAGCTGTATTATTCACAGTAATTTCAGATTTTTATTAAAATTTTTATCATATGTGACCCTAAGACCATACAAATTTAATTAATTGTTTCTCATAGCCTATTTGGGTCAAATTTTGAAAACTTTTTTTAAATATTTTTATAAAATTTTATATATATAATTTTTAAAAAAAAGTCAGCCAGCTGGCCAGACCATTTTTAAAATTTTATGTTATGAGAAACAAAAAATTAATTTTTGTTTTGATAATCACCCTAACTCGGCATCAAATAAACCAATCCTTTCTTGAACTAATAGTAAAACTGGTGAATAATACACCAATAAGATAATCTAATCTCTTATATAAGATAGATCTAGTTACTAATAAAGAATTATAATAAACATTCTAAGTGAACAACGTGCGAATTGTCTAGGTGTATATCACTAAATCAGTATTGACAAGATGGTAGTCATCATTAGTAGCCAAGTAAATGAAATTAACCCAAAAGTCAATCAGTACATAGTAGTCAGAGAAACTTTGTAATACTAGCAAGTTGATTTAGCTAATCAGATGAATTCATATTGTTAGTAACTGAAATTAAACAGATTTATTAGGCCAGGCTAGGTTTGAATAATTAGGTTGTAACAAATTATTATTTCTACTATATAATAAAATTCAAATAACTCAATAGGTCATTTGGCTTTTGAAATGATCAATGACTAGTCATTTATCTTAAGTCATGTGGGTCATTCAGGTCACTGGTCATATTAGCTCTAGTTACTCATTTCTGTGTATTACAAATATAGAATATAATAAAATTGTTATTAATAAAAAATGTTGAATACGTACAAATTTTCTAGTTGGTTGACCAAACAATAAAAAGTTTGTTTTTTTTAAATATCTTTTCATAATTTTAAACAAAGGACTTTTATTAATACTCTGCTTATTTTCAATGTTCAAGGCCATTTTCGAATTCTACCGATTAATGAAGTTCAAAATTAGTTTTAAACGTTTAAATTAACAAGGAACGCTGTTGGGATAATTTTGTGAAAATACTAATAGATAGGCTAATATAATTTTCTTAGCCATTAT